TTTTTTTTTCTCATCAGTAGGAAGATGAAAGTAATTGCAAGGCTAGCGATTTTGATTTTTTTTTTTTCAGTGTGTTTAGCGAGGAGTASCAAAGTCCAGAGTAAGTACATGTAAATTTTTTTTTTTCTACATGATTTTCAATCATCTACAGAGCAAAATGATTATCTCTTGTTTTTTTTTTTTGCGCAAAGAAATAAGAATGATTACGACTGTAAGTCATCTTAGCTATGGTTTTTTTTTTATGAATGCCTCCTTCATGTGCTGACCATATATCATCGACATTTAACTGTTTTTTTTTTCATTCATTCTTTCTCATAGTTTCCATAGCTTCCATAGTTTTTTTTTTTTTTTTTTTTTTCGAATCAAGAACAAGGTCAAACAGACTTCGTGCCCAGGGGTATTTTTTTTTTTTTTTAGGAACGAACGACAGAAGATTACTCCTGGTTTCCCGGGGATGGGAATGTTTTTTTTTTCTTGAGAGGCACTACCACGACTACAATATTTTGCACATTTTCGCTAAATTTTTTTTTTTTTATGGTCTTTCAGGGATTAAAAAATGCATGTATTAAAACCGCTTGTTTTTTTTTTTGATGATTTAAAATATTAATTGATGTGAATGACGCCAGTGACGACAATGTTTTTTTTTTTGCTTCTTATTTTCCCGATTTCCTGAGGGCTTTTTATAAGTTTGGACATTTTTTTTTTTTTGAAATCTGAATTGTTTTCAAATTATACCATTTTCAAGGTATAAATTTTTTTTTTTATTGCTGAACCAAGCACTTTGAAAGAAGTTGTCATTAATTGCATCACAAAAGAGAGAAAAATAACTGACTTCATGCAGGAGAGTGTGMATCAGCAGGGGTTTCATGTTTTTTTTTTCAGCTTTGGTTTGCATTTTCMAGACTATGAAGACGGTGGTTGCCTGAATTTTTTTTTTAGTAYATTATTTTGAATTCATACCGGACAAAATGTTGGACTRTCCTTTTTTTTTTTTTAATTAAAGAATAAATAAAGACTCATACTATTACTGCCAAGGAAGTGTGGTTTCAGAACCCCTGAAACACCTCTTGCACACGCCCCTGTCTTGTCTTAGCATGCACAATATAAAGAAATGAGCAAAAGTGTGCTATAGTTGACAATTATTATTATTGCACAGCAGGTCCAACCTGTGGTACACGTGTTCGCAAATCCCGTCATCCTCATCAATCACGAGTCATCAGTGGTAAAGATGCCGGTTTGTGGCCTTGGCAAGCGCAGTTGCAGGTTTTTTCGAATAATTTACAAACTTATGAATTTCAATGTGGAGGTTCTCTTATCAATGATCAATGGGTTGTCACCGCGGCGCACTGTGTATTTATGGCCGTAGAGCCTCAGCATGTTCGAGTGATATTGGGTAATTACACAATTTTAAAACTGAGCTTATTAAGTGCTATAGTGTCCTTCACGGTTCCTTGCGCCATTTTGAAAGGTAGCCGTGTCTTTGCATCAAAGCGAGACGACCGTCGAATGTGGAATAATACAAACAATTTATAAAACCTAGAGAAAATTTTTCACAGGTATCTATCTTTTTTTTTTCGACGATGCGAAAGCATGAGTACCTTAGCCTTTTAGGGTTAGGCTGATTTTTTTTTTTATAAAATTGCTGCATTATCACTTTGCTATTGTTTTTGTTGATGGACTCTTTTTTTTTTAGAAGAGACAATGTTATAAAATGAATGAATATCATAAATGCGACAAATTTTTTTTTTTTTCATATCTGCACGATGCATGTGTSGTGCTATTCCAACTGAGCTATGAATACAAACAAAACTGGAATGAGATCATAACCAGGGCTGGGCCAAATTGAATTGGCTATTTTTTTTTTTTTGAGAATTATCGCCATTATCTATTTTTTCACACAGTAATTATCATTTACATTTCTATTTAGTCATTATTTCCCTGTCCAGGATGATCTCCTCGTCTTTATACCTATTTTTTTTTTCTTTCTGTTCCCCCTAGGTGATTACAACAGACAAAAAAGTGAAGGTACAGAACAGATGTTCAATGTTGTCGATGTTCGCTGGCCGAAAGATTTCCTGACAACCAAGGGTGCCCCAGATCTCAACGAAACATACGTTTTTGGAAATTACTTGCTGACCAAAAATCTTTTTTTTTTTGTTGCACTGTTAAAGCTTGATAGGAGAGTAACCTTTAATGACTATGTTCAACCAATCTGTCTTCCTCCAGCAAACTCTCGCATACCTGATGGAAAGAAATGTTACTTTTTTTTTTAGTTAAAGTGCACATGACGCCTTTTAGAAAATCACTTTTCCCGAAAGGTTTTTTTTTTCCAAGTACTTCTATGAATTTTGAATTGTGTTTTCTGAGTTATTGACATTTTTTTTTTTAAAATGAAAATGAAGTGAAGCCAGTTTACGAATTGGTCCAGACTTTGTTTTTTTTTTTTGTTATGTTGTTCTTGGTTGAAGAGCTCACATCATCAATCGTGGTAAATTTTTTTTTTGCTGAAAATGCTTTTTCAATGTAACATATATATGAAGAAAAGTAGTGGTTTTTTTTTTCTTGTGATAATAATATATTAGCCATTCAGTTGTATCCACTGATGAAGCTTTTTTTTTTGAAACGTCTGGAATAAAGTTATCGACTTTATATGCCTTAAGAAGTATTTTTTTTTTTTTATGTAACATATATACACGCCCTCTTTCGCGATTCTGTATATTAAATCTTTTTTTTTTAGGCGTCACTTAATTTGCATTTTCTAAGTTTCAATTGCCCATAACTTATTTTTTTTTTAAGATTTAAAATCAATTTCTTTCTTCACAGATGTACTTAGCAGGAATTTTTTTTTTTTATGAAAATGGTGTCATGTACACTTTAACAAGATGGCAATTGAATTCACTTTTTTTTTTTGTGCCTCAGATTTAGAAAATGCTATTTCATTGCAAAGGCGTTCCATATTTTTTTTTTTTAATAATGAAGGTCTCATTTATAGCTGTTAATGTCATTGCTGTGTATTTTTTTTTTTATTGGCAGTAGCAGGTTGGGCGATGGGCAAATCAAAATAGAAACAGATTGAACTCGCCCTCGAGAAAACACGCAYGACCCTATCCGCCTATTCATATCCTCCTCGTTTTTTTTTTTTTCTATAGCATTACTTTTGTCATTCTTGTTTGATCGCTGTTGCTGTTATTTTTTTTTTGAATCACAAAGCATTGGTATGCTACTGACCAACCTCGTCAAGCAGTTGTATTACAACAAGCTCTCCTACCAACAGTAAATCACAAAGAGTGTGATAAGAAAAATAGCCACGTGTTTACAGTCGAAAAGAAAGCAATGCTCTGTGCTGGTGATGGTGGAAAGACCAACAAGAGTTTTTGCTATGGAGATAGCGGTGGTCCGTTCAACTGCAAAGAGGGTGGAGTTTTTTTTTTATARAAATTCTGTGAATGTGAATATAATTGAGCTCTTTTAGTTTGGAATTTTTTTTTTAGACACCTTGAAGACTGCAAACTTCTGGAGTAACATAAGGATTACTTGTTTTTTTTTTATATATATATGTTTTCCGGTCCAGACTGGATAGTGCCCCATAGTTAACTTTTTTTTTTTTAAAACACGATCTCGAGTGTTTTAAACGGCTTCAAAAACTCCAACACTTTTTTTTTTCAAATCCGTTAACGTTCTTGGAGAAATTGTCGTACAAATAAGTTTTGATTTTTTTTTTGCTAACTGATCATGCGTGATCACTTTACAAAGCACTTTTGTCATCCCATTTTTTTTTTGCATAAAGTAACATAGAACGGCTGTTGGCTGTTTACTGCAATCGGTTGACATCCTGCATTGGTCAATGATCAGGTATCAAACCTGAGACCTTTGCTAGGGTCATGTTTTTTTTTTTCTGATAAAGGTCACCCTTATTAGTATTCTTTATATAAAGAATACTATTTTTTTTTTTGTTTTATCAGATATAAAGGTCCATGCATGTGACCAAATAGGCTCATTCTTTTTTTTTTATACCTAAATATAAAAAGTTAAATGAATGAATATTATAAAATTAACATAAAATGTTGTTTGTTTTAGGTTTGTATTGAGAGGTATTGTTAGCTGGGTCGGTGATCGCAGCTGCAAGACGGGATCCGCGTACAACGTACTTGCTCGTACTAGTTCCTATGTCGATTGGATAAACAAGGAACTTTCTTCACCTCCTCCGGCGTTCCCAAGTATGTCAATGAATTTTTTTTTTTTAGGTGCAAGATTTTCTAGTTGTCTTACAACAATATTCTTCATGATTTCTTTTTTTTTTTGAAAGCTAGCGTTGCTACACAGGTATCTATCATTGCACGCTCAACTGTTGTCTCGCTTCCATGAAAAGGCACGGCTATCTTTCAAGATGGCGTCCGTAACCGTGATTTTTTTTTTGTCCTGCACTGTCCGTTAAAATAGATATATCGTTCCTGGCATGCTCTCTTTTTTTTTTACTATTCCGCCGTTTATAGCCTGCACATCAGCAATTCCGATCCGTCTCTTTTTTTTTTCAACTTTTGCAACTTTTGCACTCTGTTTGCTTAAAACTACACACAGTGTTTTTTTTTTTCTTTTTGAAGACTATAGTTAAATTAAGATAAATTAAGATAAACTATCTTTTTTTTTTAATAAATTGCACAAACTGGCTTGTCAACCTAGATGAAGTATACAAAACTTTTTTTTTTTTCTCGCGCGTTTCTACTCAGTATGCAGTTTTTCCTATTACCACATAAAAATGCGTTATGCGATAATAATTTAGTGCTATCTTCTTCACAGAATGTAAAGACAATCTTTTTTTTTTCAGGCATTGGAATAGCAAGAACCTATGTCATCATTTTTATTATAAAAAGGCATTGGAGCAGTTTTGCCCAATCACGTGTCAGAAACAAGGTTGTCCTGCTTTAGATACATCGTTATAGATACAGCTACCTATCTTAAAATAAAGTTCTTTGGGGACAAGAGCTGTTTTTTTTTTATTTTATTGGTAAAAAGACTAGGAGCGCAGGAAGGAGGAGTAMATTTATTTTTTTTTTTTCYCAGCAACTCGTCTTGCCACGCACATTGTTACGACAACAAGTTTTTTTTTTTTTTACATGGGTTTTGAACATGGRTTGTCTGSCAAGTTTCTTTGTTGCGTGATTTTTTTTTTATGTCTMCTTTTTTCTACGCATTGAAATAAGTTGAACTTCAACGTAATTTTTTTTTTTCAGTGTTTCTTATCCCTCGAGTCATGTATGCAATTTTGGCATTTA